CTTTTCCAGGTTTAGCACATGGAGTTGGAGCTCATCAGCAGCATTCTCGAGAGTGCTAAGACTCTTAGATCCTTCTTTGTTAGTGATGCCATCCAGCCAGATGTCACCCATTTTGTATTTGTGTTTTTGATTATTCTTCCCATGGTGTAGCATCTTGTATCTATTAGCACTGAACTTTCAGCCTATTTGCTCCCTCCCAACATTCCAATCTGTCAAGATCCCTCTGAATTGCTCGCCTGTCCTTCGCTGTGTTCACAGTCCTTCTCAGTTTAGTGTCATCTGCAAATTTCCTCAAGAAGCTCTGTATGCTAGCATCCAAATTATCAATAAATACATTGAACAGCACCAGGCCTAGGACAGACCCTCATGAGACCCCACTCAAAACCTCATGCCATTTTGACATGGATGCTTTTATAATTGCTTGCAGCTGTTGAGCCAGTCATCTATCCACCTTATAGTAGTCTTATCCACCTTGTACTAGTTTTGTCCCACCCACATTTTTCCAACTTGTTTATAAGAAGGTCATGCAAAACTGTCAAAAGCCTTGCTGAAGTCCAGATAATATATTCACTGTATACCCTTCATCCACCAAGCTAACTGTCTTGTTAAAGAAGCAAATCAAGTTTGTTTGGCATGATTTGTCCTTAATAAATCCACACTGGCTGCTCGTGATCAACCTGTCCTTCTCCAAAGGCTTGTAAATGAATTTATGATATGCTCCAGTAAAAGTATGTCCTCCTTTTCATTTTCTTTCTTTCTTTCTCTCTTTCTTTGAAATAATGGGTTTTTTGCTCCTCTGCTGTTTAGATGTTTCTTCTGGGCCAATTTGACAGGCAGCACCCCTCTTCTTTGTGCAAATGCCTGTTTGCAATCTCTTCCATTTCAGATTTGCTGGTCCCAGTAGCTACCATTTCATAGAGCCTGAGGAACAGTGTAGATGAGATCTCTTGAGAGAGCACAGAATAAAGCCACATCTCATTATGAGAATGAGGCTGCATCTACATGAGATGCTACTGAGCAGTTCTTACCATGCATTTATTTAGTACTTGTTTATACTATATGGCTGTGCAGCAGTGCTGATGAACGCCTTTTCTGTGATGCTGCAGTGCATTACCCTAATACTACTGTGCAGTAGTGTCGCATCATGGTTTTTGTCACGTGATACTACTATGCAGTAGTATCAGGCCACTGTGCAGTCAGTGTCTTATGTAGATGCGCCCTGAGGTAATTAATTATATTAAAGTTTAAGATAGGAAATGAAATCTAACCATCACTGAAGTCGACTAAGTGCCATGAAATTCAAAGTTAAAAGACCCCAGCCTCCATCCCTCTGCTCCACCAAAAAACCTCAAAACGCCTAACAACAACCCTGGATCAAAAGTGGCAAATTATTTCTTTAATCTCTGTTCTGGTTACATAGTGTTAGCAAGTATGAAATTCTCAGATTTAAGTGTGATTTTCTCTTTCAAGCTCTTTAGTTACTCTAATGAATGCTTTCCTTTTCAGTAACTTTTTTTGTATTCATATTAATTTATGCCTGTGTTATACAGTACCATTCTGTTACAGTTGGCATAATTCTCCGCTTATATCAGAGTATTATTCTTAGCTGCCTTCAAGATGTAACAGCTGCCCATCTATATAATAAATACACACACGTATGTGTACATGTGTAAAGACAAACACCACCAAAAGAATACTTTCACTTATTGCTAAAATATGCTGCTCTTCACATGCACTGTTTATATTCTAAACATAAAGAGAGAATGAAACAAACATTAGATACATTTACTTGTTACTAGCTCTCCAACAGATTAAGACTAAATAATGACAATATCACTAACATACCTGAGATTATAGCTTCTCCTCCTATTAAAGTGAATATCACTCTCATAACCATTAAGAACAATGCACATTCGCATTTTGAACAATTGTAAAGATATTAAACAGCTCTGCTAGCTTCTTTCCCAATGTCAGAACATCTTATTGTAGCTTTTGTTACTGTGACTACTGCTATTGTTTAAATTACATGTTAAGTTGACCAAATGTGGAAGAAAATAGCTTTCTCTAGTGTTCAATGATCAACTTAAACCTTGTAATTTATAACATTATATCAACTCCTCTTTTATGCCACTGTTTCTTCTGTAGGTATTTTGTGACAATACCTGATTTTGTATTTTATTACCTGCTCAATGTCCTATTTTTCATGAACTGCTTTTGGATTTTTTTTCACCTTCTCTCTCTCACTGTCTCATGCAAATAAAATGTTTTATTTTCTTAAGAGAAAGAGGGGATTTTTGCTAATCATTTAAACTTACTATACTTAATTTCTTTGGGAAGGGGATGCACAACAACCTGCATTTTGTTTGGGAATTGACTCATGATGATCAATTACTTCAATACTTAATATAATTCTCAAAAGTTTATGCAGCTCATTGCTTTCTTACACAGTCTAGGTACACGCACTGAAATTATCTAGGAGAATCCTCTCATGTTTGTTCTTGTTGTAGAAAAACTTACCCAGGGCCACACGTAGATATTTGAATGCTGAGATGTTTGAATGCTGAGTGTTGTCTGCCTGGCAACAGTGAAGTACATAGGGCAGCCCTGATTAGCTAACCCAGACTGCCCATGGTTAGCCTGTGTTGTCACCATGTACAAACATTTGCTCTCCTGGAAGTGATTTAACCTTGGTTGATGCCAGGTTACTTTCTTCCTGGAGAGGCCATTTTTACTCTGAGAGAACAAGCCTGGCCAACTGGTTTCTTCTGGGAGAGCAGCGACTCTCCTAGGAGAAAATGAATGTCCATTGGAGGCCACAGTGTTCCTTTTCCTTCTGTCTAGCAAGACTGTCAATACCCATAACCCAGAAGTATATATACTAAGCAGTTTATTTCAGACTAGGAAAGTATACCCCTTTAGTCAAATGATGCACTGGCAAAAGTTTGGAGGTCCAGTGCACAATGTTATGTGGGTAGGCTTTACAGGCTTTTTCCTATGATGCCCAGAATTTCATTGTAGATTAAATCCCAGAGGATTGGGTTGAGTAACTTAAGTCCCTCTAAAGGAACTCCCCCTATAGTATAATTTCCAATACCAAAGATTCTAGAGAGGATATTTGGATTTCTTAATAACGGAGTTAATCAGAAAACAAAAATATTGGTAAAAGTAAACAATTGTTCATTATTTATCTTAATCTTGTGTTTATTGTGGAGGACAACAAAGTTGGGGTTTTTTGTTTACTTTTGCTGTCAAAATTTCTGTGAGTAGACAAAAGTAGACAAAGACACAAGAAGGTTTCCAGGCTGCTGTTTTTAACAGCACTTCATATTTCTCATTCAGTCGTTTATTAGCATCTGTGTTAACATACTGCTTAGGACAAAGATTCTCGGGGATTCTTTTAAGGATGCCACTGGGTACCACTCACTATTAGCACTTTGGTGTGCACATGATTCACAAGATAAATCCAGATATTTCAAATACGACCCCCAGGGTATCAAAAAACATTGTGACCTGTTGTGTTATTTCTGAGTTCTTGGCAACAGAAGAATTACTCAATTTTTTTCTGTAGTCAAAAACTGAGTGAAAGCTAAGAACTGGCATCTTCCAAGGAGTGCCTTGAGCCTAACAAGTGTGATTGAGAACCATGGGCCTAGGAGCTCTACATCCTGAATCCCACTTTGGTAGGCACAATACAAACAAAGGATAAAACTATGCTCAGCGTTCCAATCTCCTTACAATGTAGGTAAATTTTCTTTGCTTTTTTTTTTTCTCAGACTGCCTCATTTCAAAGTATAGCTTCCCTTTAAAGTGACAAGATTGTAGGACCCTTGCCTTTGTAGTATAATAGTTTCCTTTGCTGATGATTGTTTAGCATTGTATGATATATTTCTCCTCTTGATGCACATGACTCCCCTAACATGCTCCGTCTCCTGCTCCACCTCACTCACATTTTGTACTCTAATGAGAACATAAGCAATTGTTTTGATGCAAAATTAATTCTCTCAGATTTATGCTCAGATTGAACCTGAGTTGTTGAGATAAGTATAGCATTTCAGATAAATGTTGCGACTATCAACCTGTAATTGAGTCAATGTCAATTCCTCACAGAATCTTTTAGAGTAAGACACTAGTGGTTCATCTCTTCTCAACAATAATACAATCAACTAGGCTCCTGAAGAGTTGAGCACAATTTTCTGCTGTTGATATGAAAGGACTTTGAAAACTGATAATTTTGAGTCTGTCTTTATAAAATGGCCCTTCTTTCTATTCAAGAAAGAAAGAAAGAATTAAAATTCTATGGATTTTAATAAAATATATAAGATTTCCTAAAACCTCTATAATTGTGATCAAAACTTAGAATCTATTTTAGCTCTGAAACCCCTTGTTTTCAGTAATTCACATATTGCCATGGCATTAATGCATCCTTCAACTTGACTATATAACTCCTCAGTGTCAGCATTCTTACTTAGAAGGCTTGAATGATGTTCATTTTCACTGAAGCACAATGAAGGGATTGGTAAGATAGTTTGTCTGCAGTTTAATCTAAAGCAGCTAGTTTGATTAATAACTGGCATTGATGTTGCCATATAATGTATGGCTGGTGCATTTCAATCACTAGATTTTCTTAATCTGGTTTAGTAATTAAACTGGTTATCTTGAAAACTGCAGGCAATTGATTTATATAAAGACGCAGAGAAATTCTATTTGAAGTTAGAAACAATTCCCTATCAAAGATAGCATGTACTTGGGGCCTGTATTGCTAAAGCACATCTCAGAATTAGTGATTCTAGTATTATTTTCATTGTTTATTGATTCTATTTATTCAAGCGCCTGCTTGTGGTTTCCATTTTCTAAAAAACATACAAAATGGGCATGCTTCCCTTGCTAATGTAAATTACAAAGTGGAGTCTCTTCATATACCGTAAGCATAACTCATCATTCAACTGGAAAGAGAATTGCTGCTTTTACTTCTTTGGCTATAAAGGATTTCTTATAAATGCTCAGGTTTCCATCTTTCACTTTGAACTGCAAGAGGCTTGTTCTAACAAAAGGAGAGTATGAGAGAGAGAAAGTATGTAGAGTCTTTATTCCAAACCAGACAAATCATAAAGGACAGCAAAACTGTCTTATAGCCCCATTTACTTCAACTATAACCAGTGATTCTCAATGAGGGTGCCAAGGAACCCAAACATGCCCCAAGATCTTTTCAAGGGTGTATGAGGTACCATACAACAATAACCCTGTTAGCTGTGAAAACACAATTCACAAGATAAACACACAGATTTCAAATAGGAATTCACAGTGTTGTGGTCTCATCTGAGTTGTCTGCAGCAGAAAACTTGCTCTAATATTTTTCTGAAATCAAATAATGAATGAAAGTTAAGAGCTGACATTTTCCAAGGAGTGCCTTCATCTAAAAAGATTGAGAACCACTGCCTACTGAAGAATAATGAAACAAATGGGACTGTTTTCAGGGTAACTATTGAGAACATGCACAAGTTGGGTAGACTTAGCTACTTGGCGATTTTATCATTCATTTTACTCATGAGGGGTATTGGCTATTTCCTCTACCTTCAGTTGAAAAAGGTAGAGACTTTGAGAAATAATAGCCCTATTCTGAAATTAGGAAAGCTTGTTAATTTGTTGTAAATGAATTACTTTACAATTTATTTGTTCTGCTTTGGCTTTGGGCTGTTAACTATGTATTTAAAGTTTATCATTGATTAAAATAATTTGAGACACCTATATTTTCCCTGTTGCACAAGTGTTTTGAGAAGAGTTTAGAACACAACAGTATTTTCACATGGTTATTTTAACTATGCTGCTAGGTGGTTAGTGATTCTGGGTGCTTCAGCTTTCTGAGTGCTCAACTTTAAATGCCTTAAAGGCTTCAGATCTTCAGAAAATACTAAATACTTACCCACAGAAAATCATGTTCTGTAAGGTATCCAAAATTACTAATCACTCTTGAAAATTTTGGAACCTGATTTTTTTGCTACCTTTTTTTATTTCAAGTTGCTGAGGTACTGTGCCACCTACTTCTCTGTGCTCTTCAAAATCTGAAACATTTAAACCTATGTGTATATATACAATGCCTAAAGTGTTAACACTCTTTTAAAACTATTCTGTAATACTGCATCTATCATACAAAAATATTGTGCATAATTCACTTGCATTTTTTTCTCATTTTCTAAATAGGCTCATGAAAGTTTAATCAAAGCAGTTAAAGGAAATAGGTCATATATTAGAGTTATTTACAAAAGCTCCATTAAAATAACTTTATTAGGGTTGCAAAATCAAGCACTGAAATTTTAGGCGATAGCATAATATTTTTTCCTATACAACCTTAATTTGACCCCTTCTGTATATCTATTAAGATGGTTTTTAATTACATAGTCACATACAGATTTTTCTACAGGACCCCAGTCTCATTCACTCCACAGGAAGTATAATGTTCATTTAGACCCCTGGCATTTGTTACATTTACTGTACAATTGTGTTAATTGCATTGTAAATTGTAACATGTTGCATGTTCAATCAACTTATTATGTGATAAAAAGGGCAAACCAGCCACACAGTTCCAAATTTAATAATATTGTGTGTAGTGAGAGTTCAAAGTAGTGATATGGGATATTCTTTGGAACATCTTTGTGGATAGGCTAATGCTGGGCTGCCACCAAGCCCTTTTAAATTTCCCAGCGCATAAGGAGCAGCTCCTGAGTCAGGCTCTCAAGGTACCCTTTAAACCAGGGGCAGGCAAAATATGGCCTGTGATCCAATGCAATACATCTTATTCAATGCACCAAATGCCCTGATGGAAAATACATAGGAGAGATCAAACAACAACTGCACACCAGAATGAATGCACACTGAAAATCTAGCAAAGACAAGAGTACCCAATTACCTGTGGGAGCACATTTCTCACAAAAAAAACACTCTCTCCAATCTCTCAGTCCTAATCCTCAAAGGAAACTTACAAAACACTTCTCAGAGATGAGCCTATGAACTTCACTTCATCAACCTCCTGCATACTAAAAACCATGGACTAAATATAGACATTGGATTTTATGACACATTATAACCTGCCTGACATCTGACTCTCCAGGTACCTCTCCACTATTCAGCCCCCTTCTCCCCGCCACCCAGCCCATCTTTCACCCACTGACTCCTCAATTTACCTCTTCACTGACTGCCTATCTTGTATGCATACCAGCCCAGCCTCTGGCTTATTTCCTTTTCATTCCATCCAGGAAGAGCACACACCAACTGCTGAAACTTCCTCAGCCTGACGAAGGGCTTTTAAACCTGAAACCTTGCTTTAAAAAAAAAATGTTTCTCCAACTATTTAAATTGGTCTAATAAAGGATATCTGACTCACCCAAAGAACCTTGTCTGCCTATATTGAGTCCATGAGTTTTTGTATCTAGGAGGTTGATGAAGTGAAGTTCATAGGATTGTCTGTGAAAAGTGGTTTGTAAATTCCCTTTGAGGGTCAGGCCTGAGAGTTTGGAGATAGAGTGGCTTTCTTCTGAGAAATGTGTCCCCACAGACAGTCAGGTTTTCTTGTCTGTAATAGATTTCCAGTGTGCATTCATTCTGGTGCGCAGTTGTCTCCTACATATTTTCCATCAGGGCATTTGGGGCACTGGATGAGCTATATAATGTTTCTGGAGGTGTAGCTGTAAGATCCAGGAGTGGTGATGGTTCTGTTGTGGGGGGTACTGGAAATATGTTGGTAGGTTTTGCATTTCTTGTCATGGCATGGTCTGGATCCATTCGGTGCATTTTAGGCTGTAGGAAGTTTGCTTCTGGTAATGAGGTTAGCAAGGTTTGGTGCTTGTTTGAATTTACAAACCACTTTTCACAGACGAGCCTAGGAACATCACTTCATCAACCTCCTGGATACAAACTCATGGACTCAATATAGACATTGGATTTATGACACACTATAACCTGCCTGATATCTGACTCCCCAGGCACCTCTCCACTTTTACCTGCTACATCCCCCTTCCCACCCCTCCCAACCCCCAGCCTATACCTCACCCCCTGACACCTCAATTTACATTTTTACTGACTGGCTTTCTTGCCTGCATTGCATGCCAGCCTCTGGCTTCTTTACTATTGCTTCCATCCAGGAAGAGCACACACACACCAACTAGATGCTTCCTCAGCCTAGATGCTTCCTCAGTTTTTAATCTCGAAAGCTTGCTAAGATATATTTCTCCAACTATTCAGTTGGTCTAATAAAAGATATCAGTTACCCTCGACTGGTTAGTGCTGGGGCCAGGACCCAATGTGGGGTCAAAGGGCCAGGGGACCACCATGAGGAATGCCCAGAGCAAGAGGCTCAGGATTCTGACTGGCCTGAAGGCGGAGCCAGGGCCTAAGGGGGAGCCAAAGGTCCCAGAGAGGGGACCACAGCTGGAAGGGGTGAAAGATGCAATGTGTGAGACATCGGCTGCAGTGTTAGGGGAGGTACAGAGCTGCGGAATGGATGTCACCCCAACACACCTAAATGGGCAGCCTCCCGCTTGGGAAACATCTGAATCAGTTTTCCATCACGGTGTGGCAGACAAAAGAGGGGCGGATGGTTGGCCCAGAAACAGGTGGGCGGGTGGAGATTTAACCAGCACCAGGAAGGCCCCCTATTACAGGTTACCCTCCCTGCTGGTTTCATCCCGCTCTGCCTACACACACACAAATGTCACAAGTTTTGCTTTGAACAGTTTGAGGTGCAGTTTTACTGAAACCCCTGCACCTATCTCCTTGAAACTTGGCAGGCTTCATGGCCTCAGAAGCAGCTACTATCCTTGCTGTTTTCATCCCACTCTGCCTTAACACACACACAAAGTCACACATCACAGGTTTTGCTTTTAACAGTTTGAGGTGCAGTTTCACAGAAACCCCTGCACCTATCTCCTTGAAACCTGGCAGGTTTTGCGCCCTCCAGAAGGGACTACTATCCCTGCAATTTTCATCTGAATCAGGCAAGAAATGCCGAAGTTATAGGCATTTTAGTGATTCCCCATTATAGCCTATGGCCAAACCATTGAAACAGCATCAAAACTCTGAAACAGATTTGGTCGAATCAAAATGGAACAGTGATCCGAAACACCAAAACGAATCACTTTCCTCCAAAACAGCCGACTCCGAAACCAAAATGAGCTGCTTGCTCCTGATGACTGGGAGGCAAAAACTGAAGTTTTAAATATGCTGCAGTTTTTACCTCCCATCTGCTCAGCTGCAAGTAGCAGGAGGCAAAAAATAGTGGCATATTTAAAACTGGTATTCACCTCCTGGTCATCAGGAGCAAGCAGTGAGCAGTTGGGCCCCTCCTACAATCAGTGGCGATTCTCTCAGGGTGAGAAGAGGGTGGCGCATGGAGGTAACTCCAAAATTAAAGGAGCCACTGTGCTGCAAACTAGGCCTGCAATTTAAACCAGGCCCTACATATAGGATTATACAGCAGAGACGGGGCTACAACCAAATTCTCTAGAGGAGCATTCAACTATTTTAAAGAAATTGTCCTGTCATATTCTGTAATCCTCTGCCTCACTATACATCTTACAGTTTCTGTAACAAATGAAGTGGGGTGTGGGTCCTACAGAGAGCAGCTTTCCTCATGATACAATCCAGTGCACCATTATTAAAAGCAGGGGTCCTTGGGAAAAATATAGTACTTGATCAATTTCAGTCTCTCACTTGGGTTTCTAATCAAATGTCAATGTCCTCACATCCTCTAGCTTCCTGTTCCTGGTCAGGCACAATAACTTTCTCAAAGCTCCTTATCTAATTTTGTTTCTTTGTACAATCTGATCTTCTCTCTCCTACCCTCTCATTGGTTCCTTCCCTATTTCTAGGACCAACTCTATTCTTCTGTAGCTAGTCCAAGTTTCTGCCTTCAGGCTAAACTCCCACCCCTATCTTCTTCTTTACAGTGGTTTAGTTCAGGAATGTCAAACTCATCTGGCCCCATGGCTGGTCCACAGTCTGGATTGGATCTGCACACCAGCCCTGCCTTCTGGAACTAGTGCCTGGGGC